ATAATTATTATACATAATCAAATTAAAATTTTATATTTAATAAAATAAATAATAATTATTTATATTATCATATTAATTTAATTGTCATGATAAATAAAGAATTAATTAAATTAAATGAGGATATAATGGAAAACAAATAACATGCCGGTCAAATACTACCAATTCGGTAGTTTAAAAATTCATCCCAAAATTTGTCAGTCAAATACCATTTATTACCATTGGAAGTTGAAACAGACACGCTTTTCTCACATCCGTAAAATACTATACATTAAAATTTTACCATTCACCATGATCTAAACAAAAGTTTAAGGAAGACGGGTATAAATATCTTACTTCACACCGAACCCTAACCCTAACCGCCAGCCCCCTGCAGGAGAAGAAAAACCAGTCGCCGGAGAAAGGAGTCGTCCGCCGCCTGTCGTCGCGCCGGAGCCACCTCCAAGAGTCAAAAAAGGTAAAAATTCTCCTATTCGCTCGAAATTTAATTTTAAACACCCCCATGGCAAAATCAGAACAAAAGAAATGGCGGATGAGCCGAAAACTGCAGGTAAAACTCTACGCCGCCGCCGCGAAAAAATCAAAAATTGCATCCAATGAGCCCCTTCACGTTTTCCGTTTTGTGCAATTTTTCCACCATTGTGTTCACCATTCTGTTTTGTGAAGATTGAACGAAGAAAGATGCCCAATCGCGAAGGTGAGCCAGCGGAACCACCGCACTGGCGGTAAATTTTTATTTTTTGACTTTTTTGTCCAACCGAAACCCTCTAACGTGTTTTCTCACAAGGATAGGTATAAAACCGGTCGAAACGGGCCAAAAACGGTCAGTCCGAGATAAACCGCCGCCGCAGGCGGTGGTGCCACCGTGCCGGAATTCCGAAATTGGCCGTAAAAGAGTTTTAACACCAATTTTAGATTTTTTGGAATATTTTAGGTACGTGAAGCATGTTTCAATCTCCGCAGGAAAATTTAGAAAACTTGAGAACTGCCAGTAGATACAGCTGAAAGTTTAGCATTTCGGATACCGATTCTTGTAAGAATCTCTCACGTTATTTCATGTTATGGAATTAAAGTTTAATTATAAATAATACGGTATTTTGCGTAATTTAGAAAATTTCGATAATTAATTACGGATTGCTAATAGAGCTGGAACTGGTTATTTATTACTGTTTGTCATGTTTTAACTGATTGTTTGATTTTACAATTTTAAATAAATAATAATACACTGGAATTAGTAAGATGATTCAATTGTGTTTCCTTAATGCATATATTACTTGTCTTGCGTGATTTACAGTTAAATTGTGAAACTGAAAATTTAATGTAAACAGGAATTGTTTGATTAAGTGAATGAATGAATGGTAGTCTTACTAAATATCTTGTGAGATGGTGGACGAACCGGGTACATAAAAAATCCTACCGTGAACATCGCCTTATACCGGATCGGGTATCAAGAATTAGTATTTTGGTGCTTATACTGGACGAAACATGAGGACGGCCCGTTTCACCCTCATACCGGACGGGGTATTGAAGAATGCTATTTTTGGTGCTCATACCGAACGGAGTATGGCGACAGTCGGTTAATTGACAATGTTAAATAACGGTTCACGCGTAGTGAGGACATTCCTATGAACTCTTATGAATATAATAGACAGATAAAAAGAGAAAATTGTTATTTTTACTTATTTAAATATGAGATTATGATGTTGTTGAGTTATTGTCCCTATAAATCGATTTTGAAGATCTCGTTATGGTAAATATGTAATAAATGATTTTATTTATGATAAATAAATTTATGTAAATTAAGAGTTTCATTAGTTGTTTTTATGATTATTACCAATAAATTAAGAGCTCCAATAGTTCACCACCCGAACTCTTTTAAAAAACTAGTGAAAGTCGCTCTAAGATATTTAATTGTTTATTTTTTATTTATTTTTTGATTTTTCACTTATTCTTTTAGAATGCTTATTTCCGTATCTCTATTGGGTATTTTAAATTATTGTGTAAAGAATGTAAACCCTAACTCTATTATTTCGTTTGTGCATTTAATTTATAATTTTTTCTTTTTAAAGTTTCAGGTCGCTACAATCCGTATATAATAGTTACATGTCAATTAAAATATCTAATAGGTCTCGGAACCCTCACTAGAACACTGCAGATGATACCATATAATAGGTCAGTAAAAGAAGTTGGTAGAGTAAAGCCGTTCACGAGCTTGTTGACAGTTCAATTAACAGCAAATACGAAGCTCCAGCTCTCTTAATTTTAGGTTAACCATGCCAGAGAGCATAGGCAGAAAATGTTTGCAGAAGAACATAACCAGGTTCAACTTCAAAAAGGCACCAAGGCTATGTTTAACATGATAATCTACACACTACATACCAGCTCCAAGAAATTAGTAGCACGGACTAATTATATGACCGTTTGGTTTCAGTGAAGAGCTCATTGTGAAAAATATTCATAAATAAGATTCAGTAAATAATATCTCAGAAGAACCCGAATTTTGCTTATTTCACACATATCCATTAACTCATTTACAGAAACTACGCAAGAGGGACTGGTGTACCTGGAGAGAAGAAGGTTCCAAAACGGTGTGGAGCTTCGTTTCACTCAGAGCGGATTGAACCAATTTCTGATAAGAGGCTGCAGATATTCGTAGTACACAATTACTCTTCTTCTTTCTCCTGCTCCAGCAATTGTTGGCATTAACGCGAACGATTACAAGATGTGGTAAAGGAGGTTTCAGTCCTAAGCAAGGGGATAATGAATGACCGTACTTCATTGGAGAATGATAATAAGAGAATCTTCAACCGAAGTAGCAAACAC